GCCCAGGTGTTTTTTTTCTGAAGGAGCCAAGGAGAAGCGATCCGTCCTACTGCCCGGTTAGAGACATATCGTAAAAAGCTATCCCATTGTCGAGTAAAACCTCCAACCTGGTGGGACATGGACATAAACTTTAGAGAGGTCATCCAAAAGAAATCTTAAATACGGGTCATTTGACCATCAAAGGCACAAGTGATGTCTACCATTTCGGAGAAGCATTTTCGACTTGAGACGAAATTAGTACCTTGTTTATGGCTTTGATTTTCACCACGGAATCAGAAAAATTGAAAAATACCTTCGAGAGTGTAAATATCCAGACTGCGTCCCACTTCCTTACTTTTATTGAAAGGTCGTTGGATGTCTCCGCGTTGTGTAGGTCGAGCAGTTCAATTTATCGGAACCATAGCTAGAGGGATTATTTGTGCGTCAAAACTGTCAATTGGAAAAAATATACAGAGTGACATTCTTCGTGTATTACACTACTCATACAGTTGCTGAAAATCTTTCGACAGCCCACGACCGGTTTCGCCCTTCTTGGGGCTCATCAGGTAGGCGCGAGTTTCCGTCAACCCTATGACCTACTTGAACCCAAATTGCATAAAATTATCGAGATACACTCATCTGCAAACAAATTTGGTTTTTCGAGATACTCACCTGAAACCGAGTTTGATCTCTCCTTTATGATATTTTTTAAGCAACTGAATGTGTCGCACTAGGCCGCCTCATGTTTCCGTTGGTACGGTGTCGCGACACATGTACAGACGTAATGCACTACACATAAGGTTGCTGAAAATCCTTAGACATTTTGCATGAAGCCACCATGTGTCTTGTAGACTCATGTATTCAGCTACTAAGGGCCGCAAGCCGTCACTGTACTGTACGATGTGTAAAGTGGTGTTATACCTGAGTTGTTTTGAAGTGCCGAACAAATCTTATATAGTTTTATCTTCAACAGTGGGTTAAAAGTTATCGGACATCCGACCTGGCATTTATGAAAATATACTGCGATATCTCGAATATCGTGCCAACTGAAACATGAGTCGGCCTGTCTGCTGTACTTTCAGTTGTAGAATATCATAAACGAGAGATTCAGCTAAGTCTCTTGTGAAAATCAAATTGTTCTTTATCGTGTTTGGTGGCTTCCATATCCTGCCCCAGTTAAGAACTACACAACTTAACGATGCAACGTAAATCCGCACTACCGATTCAGCCGGAAAGTCAGGTGAATGTGTAAAAATAGATACTCCAACAGGCCAAGGAAGCCCAACTTAAAGCAGAAAAATTTCAACAAGACCTGGCCAAAGCCCCGAGCTCTGAGAAGGGTCAACACTGGAACTCCTAAACAGTGAACTTTTACCTCGAGAGAACCATGGCGATGGGATTTAAACTGCCAAATTCAACGGGTCTGGATGTACATAGTTCCAGATCTGCTGCGCCGTTAATCCAACTGTTCATCCCCGATATGTATTTATACGGCCTCTATGAATCTCAAATATGGTGAAGTCTACCTGACAGTGGTTCATCAAAAGTAGACAAAAATCAAGTGATTTCTTTCGTTTTTGCAAAACTGGAGTCAGTCTCGGTAGATGGAGCGGCTATGGGATATGACCTCTCCCTTTGGAATCCCTCTTGGAGATTCGTTCCCTTGCTCCAACCCAATTGATTAACACTGATTATCGTAATTTTTTTTTACCTAAAATTACCTGCTTATTCCTTGTCTACTCAATGTCTCATTGTTGTATGTTCAGCATGTCACATGCTTTTAGTTGTATCATTCCAAACGACTGAGCTTCCGACCCCCAAGGAACTTGCAAATCAATGAGAATGCCTTCTGTCGTTGAAGACGTTCGAGGACACATTGTTGACACATAAATGGCATCGATCTGTTAGCACTTGAAATGTTTTTCAAAAGCTGCCACTTCCGGCCAAAGTGGGAACAATCCATGTTTCCATGGTATCACATTGAGAGTGGTGTGATTCGAACCCGCGGTTTACTGGCAAGCAAACAAACTGTTTGGTTCAAACCTAGTTCCTAGGCTCAACTCACTAGAGTTAAGAGAGTACTGTTAATTTGAACATAGAGTTGGCAACGATTGGTCGGCCTTGGTTCTTTAAATAATGGCCGGTATACGCCTGGTACGACAGATCTACCCTAGATCCTGAGTTACCATGTAGGCATGTATGTATGT